GAGTTACTGTTTCTTTCTGTTTCTTCATCATACTTTCCAGCCATTTTAATATTTTGCTGTTTTTTTACACCAAGACACTCAAATTTATCAGTATTGATTTTTCTTCTTTTATCTTTATTTCTACCTCCTTTTCATATCTCTGTTCTTATTTTCTTTCCAGATCTTTCAAGTGAATATTCTGTTTGTTTATTTTTATCCTTTCTTGTTTAAGAATGAAAACATTTAAGGAATGAATTTACTGGGTTTTTTTTAAATAAGGAATGAATTTACTTGTGAGTACAGTTTTGTGTGTGTGTATACATACACATATATATAATGTTTTCAGTATTCTTATTTTTTTGTCTTACACAATGTTGTAAAACATTTTTCTATTTTTCTGTTTTAAAATTCTTTTCTTTTTTGGGGGGGAGGGAGGTAATTAGGTTTGTTTGTTTGTTTGTTTGTTTGTTTATAATTATTATTTTCAGTGGAGGTACTGGGGATTGTCCCAGGACCTTCTGCATGCTAGGCATACACTCTACCACTGAGCTATACTCTCCCTCCATTTGTTATTTTATTAACTATATATTGAGTGCCTGCCTCCTATGTGACAAACAATGGTTCTAGGTACCAGTGTATACAGAGGTGAATAAAAGCAGACAAGCATTACCGTACTCTCCTCCCCTTACACAGTGCTGGTGGACAAGAGTATTGTATAAATATAGAAATAGAAGACAGAATATATATGTTAGATGTGATAAACGAAGTGCCACAGAGAGAAAAAATTGTCCCATAATTAGGAATAGGGTGTGATGGGTCAGGGAAGTATTCATTGAAATGGTGACTTTTGAATAAAGACAGGAAGGAGGGGAGGCAGGGTCATGAAGATATCATAGGGAAGAGAATTCCAGGCAGAGGGAACAGAAATGCAAGGACCCTGAAGTAGGAACCTCCCTGAAATGTTTACGGAACTACAAGAGAGCCATTGAGACTAGCTGGTCAGCTGTGGGAGTGGGGAGAAAGCCAATGCAGAATCAGGAAATGAGTTAAGAGGCTATATACTTAAATAATCTACTTATGCTGTTATGTCTTAATTTATATGGTTTAACATTTTCTAATGACCTCCTCCCTTGATGGATAAGGATTTAACAGGTTCCACAACCCCTATTTCTCTTCCTTAGTTCCTTAATATGCATATTACTCTTTCCAGTTGTTTGTTGTTTTATCTTTAAGCAATGCACTTACACCTTCTGTTTCTTATTCCATCAGGTGTAGACAGTGTCTCTTGACTTTAAAAGATGAAGATAGCAGCATCTCCACCCTTTCAGTAAGTTCATGTCCTTCTTTTCTACATCTCAGCTTCTATTATCTATGCATTTTGTTATCTGTGCTACATCGCATTGATATTCCCATCTGTAATCATAATTAAGTCTTTTTTCTTTCCAGTTTTATTGAGATACAATTGACCTACAGCACTGCATAAATTTAAGGTGTACAGCATAATGATTTGACTTACATACCTTGCGAAATGATTGCCACGAGTTTAGTGAATATCTCTCATCTCATATAGATAAAAAATTTTTAAAAATTTTAAAAAGAAAAAAAATTTTTCCTTATGATGAGGACTTTTAGGATTTACTCTCTTAACAACTTTCATATATAACATATGGCGGTGTTAATTATATTAATCGTATACACCCCTAGTACTTGTTTATCTTATAACTGGCAATTTGTAACTTTTGACCACCTTCATCCAGTTCCCCCATCCCCCAAAACCCCCCTCTCCCCGCTTCTGATAACCACAAATCTGATCTTTTTTTCTGTGAGTTTGTTTGTTTGAAGTATAATGGACCTACAACATATGTTAGTTTCTGGTGCACAACGTAGTGGTTTGACATTTCTATATGTTACAAAATGATCACTGTGAGAAGTCTAATTACCGTCTGTCACCATACAAAGCTATTGCATTATTATTGACTGTATTCCCTATGCTGCACATTTCGTCCTGTGACCTGTTTATTTCACAACTGGAAGTTTGTACCTCTGAAGTTCCCTGGCCTGTTTCACTCATCCCTCCACCACCTTGTCCCCTGGCAACCACTTGTTTGTTCTCTTTATCTATGACTCTGTTTTGGTTTTATCTGTGACATTTAGGTTCACTTGCTTTGTTTTTGATTCCATGTATGAGTGAAATCATATGGCCTTTGTCTTTCTCTGTCTGGCTTATTTCACTTAGCATAACATCCTCTAGGTCCATCCATGTTGTCTCAAATGGCAGGATTTTCTTCTTTTTTTTTTAATGACTGAATGGTATTCTGTTGTGTGTATATGCCTCATTTTCTTTATCCATTCATCCACTGGTGGACACTTAGGTTGTTTCCATGTCCTGGCTCTTCCGTATAATGCTGCAGTGAAATTGGGGGTGCCTATATTTTTCTTTATCAAAGAAAATTGGACATTTCTAAACTTAGCATCAGATCATCTGTTCTGACAGACTCCACTTTTGTTGCCAGACACCTGTCTTATAAAGGCTTCCATCTTCCCTCTTTAACCTGGACAGGTTTCTCCGTAGGCCTGTTGCTTCCCTGTGGCTCTGGATTTCCCTTTGTTGCTATTTGAGCTTGTATCCTGTTTCTTGGATTCCCTGTCTTCTTTCCTGGTTTAATCCCTCATTTTGTTGAAGCGTATCATCAAATAATTTTCTACAAAAAATAGCTGGTCAGTAAAATTTCTATGTTCTTGCCTGTCTGAATATTTAATCTTACACATGACTAATTGGTTGATTAGAAACTTCTAGACACAGTAATTTTTCCCCTGAATTATTTTAAATTACAAAAATTTAAATCATTTGCTATTTTTCCTTATGACTTTGATACATATGGGTTGTGTTTCTTAAACTCCTTACTTATCATTTTGAAAAATAGCAAATCATACCTACCTGGTCATCTGGAAGCAAAGGAGAGAGACCTCAGGAGAAACCAAACCTGCCAGTGCTTGATCTTGGACTTGCAGCCTTCAGGACTGTGAGGAAATAAATTTATGTCGTTTAAGCCTGTGGTAATCTGTTAATGGCAACCTTAGCAAACTGATACACTAAAGTGGTCAGATTCATAGAGACAGAAAGTACAACGGTGTGGGAGGAGAAGGGAACGGAGAGCTGTCTACTGGGCACAGGGTTCAAGTTTTGTGAGATGAATTCTGGAGACAGGTTGCACAACAAAGCAAATGTGCTTAACACTACTGAACTGGACTTTTAAAGATGGTTAGGGCGGTGCATTTTATGTTGTGTATATTTCACCACAATGAAAAATAAGCAAAACAGCAGAACAGAACACTTCCCTTGATGCTACAGCCCCCTCTTGCTGCAGCCCTATTTTTCTCCTCTCCTTTATTGCAAAACTCCTGAAAAACAGTCATTTCTCTTTGCTGTTTCCACTTTTTGACTCCTTACTTTCTCCTGAATTATTCTAATCAGGATTTTCTGAAACTGCTATGTTCAGTGCTGCAATAATTCCAGTCCATCAGCAGCAGTTTTGATCTCTCACTCCTTGAAATACTTGCCCCCACCTCCACCATGGCCTCCGGGTTTTCCTCGTGCTTGTTCTGCATAGGCTCCGGCTTGCTCCTCCTCACTGTATCCGTGAGTTACCCCAAGGCTCTGCCTCAGGCTTTTTATAATCACCCCCTAGGAGTCTCATCCAGTGCCATCCACACCTGGGTGACTCTCAGATCCTGTCTCCAGCTCCACCCTCCCTTGGAACTCAATGCAGGACATCCACCTGCCTGCTCCCCATCGCCATGACGATGTTCGCCAGGCATGCGAAATTCAGCATGCCTTCAGAACCTGCCCCCTCCACTGTTTACGATCTCAGTAAATGTTACCACCTGGCAACCACGTCAAAAAGCAGGCACCCTCATAATTGCACACCAAAGAGCTTGGAGTCACCTTGACCCCTCTCTCTCTGTCTCATCCGACATCCAACTCACCTGAATATCCTGTTGTTTCTCTTCAAAATCTCTCCAGGGTCTGATTCTTCCCCGTGACCTTTTCCACTAACTGCCTTGGCCAAGCAAGCTTCTTCTCCCATCTGAATGCCTGTGGTGACTTCTCAGCTAAATGAACAAATGAATAAATGCTATGAGTGTTGATGAGAAACATAAATGTGCATTCCTGAGGACACCATCAGAAGTGTAGTTGAACATGTTTCTATGCAGACTGCAGGTGAGAATAGGTGATCGTGTGTCAGCACGTGGCACCCAGAGAACTAGCAGTGTCCCTGCTCCCGTCTCTCCCAGAAGCTAATATATACCCAGTAGCAGGATGCTAGTATCACTTGGTAGGCTGCAGACACACACACACACACACACACGTGCATCTCTGTTGACTAACTGAAAGTAAATAAGTATGGCCATTAGAACTTTAAGAGAGAAATCAGAGAATTTGAGATCCTGACCATGCAAATAATCAGATTATCAGAGAATGAGCTGTTTTGCTCAGGATAGTTGATGATTCTGAGAGGAGCTAGTGTGGGCCTTGTTTCAAAGAGTGTAGTGTCTGCCCCCACCCCCCTGCTCTCACCCCCACACCAAACCTCATCCACTTCCCATACCTCTCTTGGTAACAGAAACAGCTGGAGTTCAAGGTTTTGGTTTTTTTTTTTCTTTTCCTTTCTTTTTTTTTTTTGGCCAAAAGGAACACATCAAAGTGGTGGCATTGAAATGTTTCTGCTCTGGGGGTGGCTGCTTCATTAAAATATCCTATTGCTGAGAAGAAGCGACTGTTAAAGTCAGACCGGTTGGGGAAGGCTAGAGTAGGGTGTGGCCAGGTGTACTGAGAGGCGTTGCTTACTGATGGACGGAAGGTGATAGACCCTCTGGGTGATGCAGTCTCCTGGGCACCACGCACGTCAGCTACTGGCCGTGCTTGAACAAGGCAGAAGCCTGAGCAGTAGCAAAACTGTTGGCAGGGATCTGAAACAGAACTGGAGGAGTTTCTGGCAGTGGCTGGTGGCTGTGTAGAAGGTAAAAGAAGGAGACAGAGAGGGAGAGAGAGAGGTCACTCTGGGGGGGGAGCTGCCTCCCAGCATCACTGCTGTGACGTATTTCAGGAAGGATGCAGGTGATGCGGGCAGGACATCTTCCGGTTTCTTTGTCTGTTCCATCACTCACACTTCTTGTTTCTGTGGCAGCACAGATGGTCCCAGTATCCCACAGAGGCAGCGCCTCCAGATCAAGTCTGTCTGAACGTTCAGCCCATCTTTCTCCTCCCAGGACAGGCCCGCCTGCTCTGCTCAGGTCCCCAAGGATCCCCGAGTGCGTGGCATCCCAGTGTCTCCTGCCAGCAGCAGAGGGAGCCCATACTCTATCGAAAGGGATTATGTTTCTCATTAGAATAGAAAGTAGAAAGTACAATAACTTGTTTTTTTTTTCCCACGCAGTATGTCCTTGCAGATGAAGCTTTAATCTCCCTCGTACATCTCTGTGGCTGTAAATTCATGCTCCATTATGGTACCATATGCCTGGATTCACTGGGAGAAAGCCACAGCAAGCTTGGCGGCCCGCTTAGGCTTCTGAGCTGTTTGTGCCACGTGTTGAATTGCATATGATCTCACACTTAAAGGTTATGTCTGAATAAGCTCTTTTATAACAGTTTATTCTCCATGCAGTTGATCAGTTGTGTCATGGGAAGTACCACTGAACTCACTGACACGAGATGCAAGAGGCAGAAGGAAAGTTAGGCTCAAAACACAGCAGAGTGGGGTTCATCTGACTGTCTGGCAGCTGCTGATTCACTTCTCATCTGTCTCTAAGTAATAGTTATTGAAGCTTCTCTGCTCGGAGCAGGCCTGCTTTACATCCAGTTGCACCCAGGACATGGAATGGCATTTTTTCCCAATCCTTCCCTGATCACTGCTAAAGCCAGGCACGAGGTCACATGTCAGGACTGAGGGTTACGCTTGGGGCTAAGCCACACCACCATGGTTAAGAAACCTGTTGGCCTTTTTCTCAGACCCTCTCACTTCCTTATTTCCCTCCCAAAGCTACTGACCAAGTTCTGAAACCACTCTTAGGAGGGGGAAAAAAAAACTCAGGTCCTGGATCCTTTGTGATGACAGCTGTCATCTGTGCCTGGTGGGAAAGGGGGGCGAACAGGAAATATTTAGAAAAGATTTTCTCACCTAAACCTGTCGTGGAGGCTCTGGCTTCAGGAGCAGCTCTGTTGAAGGTTTCGCGGCCGCTTGCTGGGCGGGCAGCTTCCTTCCGAGGACGATCTCCGCGCCGCGGGGCGAGGGCCCCCTGTGTTACCCTGACTAGGACTTCCCTCTTCTAGCTGGGAAGCTAGCAAGCCTGGGGCCAGTCTAAGAGCCTCCTGGGCCCCAGAGGATTTTACTTGTGGAGACTCCACTATATAAAATGTCAAAGATACTGAAACGCACCCCTATTCCACACTAATACAAGGTGTAAACAAATAATAAGTGAAAATACGGGCCTGGAAACTAGTTGACATAGTAAGTCTCATCAAGCATGTTATCCTGATGCTGCATTTTTGCCTCTATAGTTTGGTGCTGATACATTTTTTTGCCTCCCAGGCTGTGTACACGCCCTTGGGTCGCTGGAAAGCTCTGGGTTGTGGGCCCTGCTCCTGGCGGGGCTTGACGCAGATGACGGACATTGAATGGTCGCGGGGGCCAAGATGAAGTCTCATTCTCGTCCTCACCAGCCTGGTCCCAAGAGAACCAGCCTCAAGGGAAATTAGGATGGTCCTGACCTGTCCTTAAATAAAACCAGAAAGACTCTCACCTGTCCGTAAAAAAGTGAAGAAGGGATATTTTTCTGGCAAGATGTTCATTTATTCATTTATTCAAAAATTTTTTAAAAAATTGTTTTTGGTTATTTTCTTGGGAGAAGGGATTAATTAGGTTTGTTTATTTATTTATTCGTTCATTCATTCATTCATTTATTCTTCATGGAGGTACTGGGGATTGAACCCAGGACCTCATGCATGCTAGGCATGCACCCTACCACTGAGCTATGCCCTCCCCCTGCAAATTTTTTGAAAGCCTACTAAGTGCCAGGCCTAGTGCTGGACATTTGGGAAACAGAGGCCATTAAGATGCAGTGCCTGCCTTAAGGAGCACGGAGTTCCTCAGTCCTACTGTCCTGGGGCTGCTGTTGGTCAGCCTTTCAGGACCCATCCTTGCCTCAAAAGCCTCCTCAGGTATTTCTGGCTGTTATGAGCTGAGTCCTCCAGACATTCATGTATTGAAATTCTAGCCCCCAGCACCTCAGCATGGGGCTGTATTTGGAGATAGGGCCTTTAAGGAGGTGATTATAGTGGAATGAGGTCATTGGGGTGGGCCCCAATCCGACATGAATGGTGTCCTTGTAAGAAGAGATGAGGACACAGATACACTCAGAGGGAGACCATGTGAAGACCCAGGAGACATGGCCACCTGCAAACCAAAGACAGAGGCCTCAGAAGAAACCCACCCTGTTGACACCTTGAACTTGGACTTCGAGCTTTCAGAACTGTGAGAAAATAAATTTCTGTTGTTTAAGCTGCCCAGTCGGTGGTCCTTTGATTGTGGTAGGCTTAGCAAACTAACGCACCAGTCCGGTCGGAGGCCCAGAAGACTTCCTTGGATCTTTCTTGGGAGAAGAAAGAGAAGACACTCAGCCAGTCCCTCCCCAACCTGGGACCTGGTGGGAGCGCCTGCCAAAGGGCAACCGTGTTGTGCACTTACCCTGAACCTCCTCAGCCTCCTTTCTCCTCAGTCGGCTTCCTCCAGGTGTAGACAGATGAGTGGGGCTTAGGGATTTTGCTGAGGATGGAGGGGATCAGGGTTGAGGGGGGCGCCCTCTCCTCAGCCACAGGGGGTTTTCTCTCTCAAGCTTCCTGTTTGTTGTTCCTTGGGAGAGGGTTTCACTCTGCTGCATCTTTGCCGCCTCTGGGGGACGTTCGGTCCTCATTTTTCTTGACCCCTGGGCACTACTAGGTTCTCTAGCGCTCAGAGAGGGCTTTCTGGCTCATGCTCTTTGCTACCTCTTGTACCTCCCGGCGTCTGTTCAGACCGTCCACTGTGCTGGGAGCATCTCTGCCACTCACCAGCCTATCTGCTGCTCAAGCTGCTCCGGTCGCGCGGGGGATGTGCCAGGATCCGGCGTGGCCTGGTGACCATGTGTCAGAGGAAACCCTGATTTGTCCCATTTGCTGCTTTCCGTGGTGAAAATGCTCCCATCGTGCCCAGTTTCTGGCTACCAAGGTGAGGTCCCTGAACAAGGAGCTGAATTGAGAGGAGATGTCTACCAGCATATCATGATGTTGTAGTCTCACCATCGAGATACGACAGATGTAAATAACCTCAAGGGCAAAGAAGGCAGAAAACCATAACAATAAACTAACTAGGAATGATGTTTGGGGTACGTATTACTTTTGTATTTTAATACAGCTTATTTAATTGTGAGCACATATAATTTAATTTTTTTATAATGACTACAGTTAATAACCAGCTTGCAGATTTTCTGAAAATTTAACAATTAACTCTTGCAAGCCAGTAGGAGCTGGCTCCAGCACACAGCGAGGGTGACAGTCCTCTGGGTGGAATAGGACGGTATGGGGATATAGCAAAAGGGGCCGGCGTGGTAAGCAAATGACCCTAGGCTGCGAGACCGTGTGGATTGTGAGTAAACACACAGCCATCTGGAAGCCTCCGGTGGGAATGAGTGAGCAGACAGCACCAGGGCCATGAAACAACTCCAAGCCCTGTGACACAGCCTTATTCCTAGACCGCCCTAAGCCCTGCCTTCATGCCCTGGTCGTGCATTTTCCTGGGTGGTCCTAGGTGGACCTTCCAGATGCACACCTCCATCCAGATAGCCATGGCCTGGCCCCTGGGCTACCCTGACATGCCTGGACTTCCCCTGGGGCCTAAGTGACTTTCCTGGCCCAGGGAGCACATGGGATTCTGTTTGGCCAGGATTGATTTTGAGTAATAAGGAGCAGCAAAACTCTGTGTCGGGGCCCCCATCTCCCCTGTGGGATGCTACAGAGCAGGGTGACTCCTGGAGCTGAACTGCCTTCCCTGCATTCATTCATATCCGTTTCTTCCTGGGGTTGTGTCAGAACGTTTTGATTTATGAGAAACTGATCCTTTACTCTTTAAATAATAGTGCATTTACTGAGATTAACTACTATTGTAAAATCACCAAAGTCCGCAATGAATACTAGATTCATTAATTAGATTATTCTTAACTAAAAATGCAAGGATTCTCTTTGTGGTAGAATCATTTCAGAGTGAAAATCAAGTGGTCGTTAAAATATGTCAAACAGAGATAAACAGCAAGTTCATGCTGTATAGTGCAGGGAAATATATTCAATATCTTGTAATAACTTATGGTGAAAAAAATATGAAAACGATTATATGTATGTTCATGTATGACTGAAGCATTGTGCTGTACACCAGAAATTGACATAACGTGGTAAACTTGACTATACTTCAGTAAAAATTTATATACAAAAAAAACCCTGAAAAACAAAGTGAAAAAAATACCTTGTAATAGCCTATAATGGAAAAGAATATTAAAAAGAATATATATGTGTGTGTGTGTGTGTTTGTAACTGAATCGCTATGCTGTACACCAGAAATTAACACTACATTGTAAACCAACTGTATTTCAATAAAAAAATTTAAAATATATATGTACATATCAAACAAAATGGTTTGTTTGGCCAGTACATATTAATAGCAATAAAGTGACAGTTTCAAGGCACGTACTTCCTCTGCTGGGTCTAGAAGAGGAAAATGACAGAAACAAGGGGCTGGGATTACCTAGGTCAATTAAGGGAACGCAAAGCAATAAGGCTCGTCTTTCCAGGAAGGCATCATGAATACATAGTCACTGCTCTAGGAGTACCTGCTGATTGACCAACAGTAAACATCAAGTTATCTGGCTTGGGCTGCTGAAGACAAGGCCGGTGGTAGGATTTTAATTCACAAAGGCAATAAGCAAAATCAATTTGTCGTTTTCTAACAACAAACATTTATCTCGATGTAAAAGCTTGTATATATGATATATATCATATATGCATTTATGTATTATGTATGGGACATATAGATCATATATGTACATACATGTATGACAGAGGGTTATGGGACTGAAATAACTGGATGAAAAAATGAAAGTTTCAGTGAACTGACTGCTGTTTCCAAACACTGAACATTTAGCTTCATGAGGACGGAGCATCGGAGCTATGATTTTCCCCTCCTATTAGTTAC